CAGTGCGTGTAGCCACGTTAATTTCAGACCCCAGATCAGTAACAATATAAAAAGTTCCATTGGCTATATCTCGACTCCTGTCTTCTTCCCTGGAAAATGACCAACGATGATCGAAAGTACACGGAACATTACACACAATTTCGGTAAATTCCTTTACAAATATTCACCCGACATCAAACGGCCTATTGGTAGACTTGGGCGGGGCGGGAGGTGGGGGGTGTTATTTGAGACATTCATTGCCTTTTCCATTTATTGAAGTACATTTAAGCGAAGGACTGAATCCTAAGCAGACTATTTTAACACATACGCTATATATATATATATATATATATATATATATATATATATATATATATATATATATATATATATATATATATAATACTAAACTGTAATTGTTAGGGATTATTCCAGAGAAGATATTTCTGTCCATATGAGAGCTCAATATATAGTACAAAGCAAAATAAACATATATATATATATATATATATATATATATATATATATATATATGTGTGTGTGTGTGTGTGTGTGTGTGTGTGTGTGTGTGTGTGTGTGTGTGTGTGTGTGTGTGTCAGAGACAGATAGAGATAATGATATATATTTTTATTTATCAGGAACATTATTGGGGAAAAATATATGACAAGATGGAAAAAGTTTCCTTGTGACACGTTTCGCCCTTGAGTACTTCATCAGAAAAATTTGTCATGCTGCTGCGATAAAAAAAATTAAAATTACAACTTCCAGCGTCACTAGTTCGCACGCATATTTAGTTGCATCAACGTAACAAATTTGGTGACGAATACTTTTAAAAATAATGTATATATATATATATATATATATATATATATATATATATATATATAATTTATATATATATTATTTATATTATTATATATTATATCAACTATACACACACACACACACACAAATATATATATATATATATATATATATATATATATATATATATATATATATGCATATATATATATATATATATATATATATATATATATATATATATATATATATATATATATAAAAATCGGAGAGCCGAGTTCAATTCCTGTCAGATCCATTACGTGCTAATACCCTTCTCCCAGCTATGGGTAAATAGCAGGACAGGATAAGTGTTCTATAGGCTTGGATGGCAACTGGTCTACTGAAGAAAGAAATGGCAACCTACTGCGGGAGAAAATCTGTCTTGTCAGTCATGTATCGAAAAGATACATGATCCCCTAAGCGTGTATCATGCATGGTACATAACTGACTGATATACAAACACACGCATATATATATATATATATATATATATATATATATATATATATATATATATATATGTGTGTGTGTGTGTATGTGTGTGTGTATGTGTGTGTGTGCATGATATTAGAGAGGTAAATAAATATATGTTGGTGTTTATGTTGCTTGTAAATATTACCTATTTGAACTGGCGTCTTCATTTTTATTGTTATATAGAATAACCACTAAGATTTGAACACCAGTGTAAGTAAATCAGTGTATAATTTTCATTACAAATATTCAGACAGAAATTAAACGCAGAAAACAAAAAACAGGAATATAAAGTAAAATCTGATTAAGTTTTTCCAAAGTTCTCACAAAGTTTCTTTTGGGAAGTGCAGAAACTCTCCGAAATGGTTAAGCGTCTTTGGTCAATTCGTGAGCCATTTTAAAGAGGTCAATTTGCTGACCAAATAGAAATTCATAGATATAAATATACTATTTTGAAAGATAGAAAAACACGCATGTACCTACTAAAAAAAAAACGATGATGATGAGAAGGTAGCAATAAAAATTATATTCATTGACAATTTGCGTAGTAAAATAATAAATAAATTCATCGATCTAACATAACTTTTACTACCTCTTAATTAATTGGTAGATATTGCATCTAAAGCGTTAGAAAAATCGAGCTCAACTCTTTGTTTACGAAGACAAATAAAAAGATATTGTTTATAGTACGCAAGTATGTATGCATGTATGTAAAATAAAATTTACGACACATCAAAACGACTTGGGTCATTTAATGCATTAATTTTGTATGGTGCCTCCAACAAGGGTCTAACTCATTGCTCGGGTATAATGGTCAACTAGACTAGCCTTGTTAACCATTACTCTACGCCAAGGCTCCCGTAAATATGTATCTATAATAAGTAATAAATATGTATGCATGTATGTATATCTACAAGCATATATGTATAGATAGGAACATAGATGTATACATATACAATATATATATATATATATATATATATATATATATATATATATATAAGAAAATGGATTAAATCCAAGCATATTATTTTAATTTATTTTGTTTAAGCATTATTTTAATGGATACTCATATTCGAGAAGTTCTATTTTTTTAGTTTAGCAGTATTTTTATCCAACTTCATCTACTGGCCTAAATAATCGAGAAAATATTGTCAGAAAAAGTGTGTACATATAGTGTGTCTCTCTCTCTCTCTCTCTCTCTATATATATATATATATATATATATATATATATATA